GTGATCCATCCATCGAACATATATACTGTTTTGCAGAGGAGTGATAATGCTGCCTTTTTTTTATCGATTTGGTCACGGGTGGTTAGATCTCCGAGGGCACTCATAATGCAGAAATTATGGTAGTTTCTATAGATATTAATTGTAGTGCCACGTAAGCAATTTGTTGATGTGGCAAGTGATTTAATGAGGATAGAGAGGAAAAATTCAAGAAACCAGGTCTAATTAAAAAAATTGAGTCTTCACAATTATCAATGGACAAGAAACTACTCGTAGCACATTGGGAGAGCGAATATGGTTTCTATCACTACTTATGCCATGTACTGTAGAAAAAATCTTACACGGAGAAGGATAGTTTCTTGGTACGAACCCTATGCTATAGAAACTGCTAATAGTTTCATGCATTTGGAGTGCCTGAGTAACCTCGTCATCATTAACGTGGGAAAACAAAGAGCATTCTGATTCAGCGGTGGAGTAGTATGTGTGTGTTTTGCTTTGGCTCTACAATAAGCTCTATTAGCGAGCTGAAACTATTTTAGAAAAACATATGATAAAACAACTTCTCATAGTAAATAGGAGAGAAGGAGGTAGCAGAAGTTGCTCCATGTGTCAACCACCACATATGAGAGCGGGTTTTACGAGGCTCCACTTAAGGAACTATTACATTTTAACCTATTTAGCAAAAAAAAAAAACTCTAAAGCTTCTAGAGAAATTGTACCAAATGGGCCTAGTTAATAGAGTGGCTCCCATGATTGCGCAGCTAGTATGGTAATAGTAGCAATCCCTCTATTCCTAAATAAATTAATTTCTAAAGTTATCATAAATTATATTTTTATGTTTGTTTAAATTTATATAAAAAAGCATAAATATTTATGATATCGAATGAGCATATTAATATATTCCGTGATGTATCTAGTAATACTAATTTGATATCATAAATCTTCATACTTTTTTGTATAAATTTAGTTGAATTTAAAAGTTTGACTTAAGATAACTCTAAGAATTCATTTATTCAAGACTGGAGGGAGTAGTATACAATTCTTATGCAACTTAGTATATCATTTTACTCCTCTTGTCCCAAAATAAATCAATTATATTTCTAGAGTTGTTCTAACTTAAATTATTTTATAATTGACTAAATTTATAGAAAAAAGGCATTAATATTTATGAGGCCAAATTAGCATCACTAGATATATCATGACATATATTTTTATAATGTACTTATTTGGTATGATAGATGTTTTTTAAGGAACTTGCACAGGATTATGCCTATTTCATTGATATAGAACAGAGTTTTGTGACCCATTTAAAGTGGGGAAAGAAAAAAAAAAAAGTTACTCTCGCTCTAAAAGTATCACTAATTATTTCTTCCCCAGCATAATCCAGCCCCTGCCAATGATACTCGTAAGGGATATTGTTGAAGATTCCCATTGTCTAAGGACTCTAGAATTTCTTTCCTTCTAAATCTCCAAGGGTTCAAGGAGAATGATATTTTTTACCACTTTTTGAGGTGTGTCTTGCTTTGATGAGATATTTATCTATCATTCTTACACTATGGTGCTCGTTAGCTAGTTTTCAGGCCGCAAACTCGCCTGGTGGGTCCATTCTACGGAGAGCCTCTAACGCCAATCAGTGAGAGTTTCATGTGGGCATTTATTTAATAAGGTGCCATATAAGCATTTTTGATGATGTGGCAATGTTTTTAAGAAGAGAGAGAGAAATGAGTTTCATAGGGATGAAACTCGATCTCTCGACACGATTACCAACTCTCTATGAGTCACGAAATTAATTGTATATGAAACCATAGAATGAAACTCTCCATTAAGAGTGGATGTTGCATCCATGTTTTATTTTCATTCTATATGATATGGCAATCTTGAAAACAATGTCATAAAACTTCTCACTGAGACTAACCTAAATCATCCTAGTGTATCTGTACCCCCCACTTAGCATGTGGTATTGTATCTCGACAATTTATCTACAAAGCGAGTAAACTGGACAGTACGTACGGGTGTACGAGAGACTTCTTTACCTGGTACGAAGTGAACAAGTGAAAATGTATCTCATACACCCGAAGTTTATGAGCATGTTATAAGAAAGAATTTGAATGTTTTAGAGGAGTTCCATATCAAGGTTAAAGGAGTTGTAAAGATTAGGTGAAATATTCCTTCCCCACACCTAAATATTTAGCTACACCAAATTATATATAGAAATTACACCAAAATAATAACCATAACTCTAATATAAGCTGAGTGTAAATCTAGCATAAATTCACAGTAAGACATTGTTTGAATGCACATGTATCCATATTAATCCACATGTGTTGAAGTGGATTGTGGTAGAACTTAAACTAATTTTCATTCCAATCCACCTCAACACATGTGGATATGTGTGCATCCAAATGAGGCCTAAGTGAAATTAGGATGTGGGAGAGAAAATTTTTGTCTGAATATTAGTTTTATTCCCTTCTTGCATGCTATCTAGGAAGAAGAAAGGGAAAGAAAAGAAAGCAAGACAAGGTGTGGGAGAGATTTTTTTTTGAAAAAACAGGTTTGCCACGCTTTATAGATCAAAACGCGAAATTGCATTGTTTGGTTCAAAGTGTAACGGCGCGCCCGCCACAAACAAGGCCTAAAAGCCGGAAAAAACAGTACTGTCAGACACCAAAACATTCTAAAAATCTCTGCTAACTCGCAGCGATGCAGCCAGCCCCTCTCCAAAGACTGAGACACCACGGAGGAAGCAGCCACGGGCGGCTGTCCACATTTCCCCGTACCAGTGGCGCCTCTAGGCACGACGTGCGCACGCAGACATCCCCGCCCCGAGGGCTGCCAGGACGAGCCGGCAATGCCCAGACGTCGTCGATGGCGCGCACAGTGGCGCCGCATCAACGGCCCGGCGCGGGGTTGGCGGCGCGACGACAACGACGCACGACGACGGCCGGCGGTCCCGGTCCCGGCAGGTCGCCGTCCGACCGGTCGCCGGCGCTTCGGTTGCAGCCGCGCGCGCGCGAGCGTTTACGCGTGGCGGCCGGGCGGACGCACGCACGCACGCGGATCGGAGCGGGGTTCCCTGGCATGCATGCAAGCCGGACGGAGCCGGGGATAGGAGCGCGCGCGCGTCCTTGTCTCGCGGCCGGTTGCCGATATGATGCCGATGGCCGGCCGGATCGACGGCGAAAGGGTTGATCGCGAGCGTGGCCTTATTTTGTTTAGCACTCTCTACCCCCGCCGCGGCTGGTTTGACTGCACACCCGGAACCGGGCATGCATGCACAATTGCACACCATACCGTCGTCTCGATCGGATCGCAGGCTACTAGAGAGGATCGGCGGTCCGGCGGATCAACGCCTGGTGGACCGGCCGTCGTCACGGGAGCCTGAACGTCAGTGTCCGCGTCGTCAGGTAGCCATAGCCGGTCGAGGCAGCAGTGTGCGATTAGACATGGCGCCAATGTGTCATGTGTGTGTACGTGCTTCATTCGTTCAGTGCTGCCAATGCTAGGAGTACGTAGTAGTATCTGTGTATGTGGCCGCTCTTGTTCCCGCGCGCGGGAGTCCCGGCCCGGTGTCGCGGTCACACTCGCACGCACTGGGACGCGGATCAACGTGATCGGGATGCGCGTGGTCGGCGCGATCCGTGCCGCGGCGTCTTCGCATACGGTGCCTGGCGCGCGACAAAAGCAGCGCACTCCAAGCAGCGGAGCAATATATGCCCCGAAAGGGACCCCGGCGCCGCGTCCGTCTCCGCGAGAACGCGTGAGCAGCAGCGCCGTGCGTGACTGCGTCTGCGTGGACACACACTTCCCGGTTCCCGCACGAGAGCGCCAGAGCGGGTGTGAAACACGACGGCAAGGGGGCCAGATTGGAGCAGCTAGCTACTCGTCTCCATAGCGTACAGCAAGAGGATTAGGCAAATCCATCACATTGTCCATGCCTCTGCCGTCTGCCGCTAATTCTTAATCTCACTTAATTGGCCGCTCCAAGCCGAAAGCAATCAGCAGCAACAGCCACGGGAAGCGTATGGTCGAGCCCACGCACTCACACGAAAAGAACGCATCGCACGGGGGCAAATTTAAAATCAGTGCTGCAAGAACTAAACCTTGCCCAGCGTCTCCTGACTCTTGGCATGCAGCTGACAGAAAAGAATCGGTGCGCCTTTCTTCCCTCTTCCTATATAATCTGTGAGCAGAATCAAGAGTCTGCATTCATTCAGAATTCGAGATTCAGTTGAACTGAGCAAACAAAAATGTTGCCCAGTGACAGTGAGCGGACCGACTCTGAAGCACATTCCACTCAATCACAATGTCCGTCGACACTCGACAGCATCTGGAAGCCCTCACCTACAGCGACGAACCGCATCACAGACGACAAAACCCCCCATTTCACCTCAGTTAGCACAAAGCCCATCAGAACACACACACACACACACGACACACCCAACGACATCAGAACACAGTGGCAGGAAACCGTCACCGTTCTTATTCTTATATCAACATCAATCATATATTATACTACTATGAACAAATGTACACACACTGATATAGAAGCCAAACCAGCAACACCTCAGCAGCAGCAGCAACCAAGATCCTAGACACCCCAGTCCACTGGACCGAGTGACAACAACTGGAGCTGGATGCGTATCCATGTTATCCAATCCAAAGAAAAAGGGATAAAGCGAAGAAGGAAAAAATATACTCTATACTAGCAAGAGGCGCCACCAGCTGAGCTCTGGTTGCTCGATCTCTAGAAGCAAGCACGAACTGGGCGCCTTTCTTCTCTCTACTACCACTACTAATCTCTCTCTAAGCTGCCACTATGGCACTATCCCAATTTAATTACACTAGTGTGAAATGAAATGAAATGAAAAAAGAAAAGCAACTACCAACTGTAACTGTGGTGTGGGGGGACGGGAAGACCCCGGGGAACTGATCTCGGCTCCCTCTGGTGACTTCTCCCCTGATCCATGGCTCTCTGTTACTCCTCCAAGAAACGTGGAGCTCGGTCAGGCCTGGGCCTCGAGCTCCTTGCCCGTGATGAAGGTGCCGTGGAAGCCGAAGGGCACGCGGGACGGCAGCTGGACCGTGGCCTCCAGCCGCATGTCGACGGCATTGACCACCAGGAGCTCCGACGTGCCGGCGCGCTCGTCGTGGACGAAGGTGAGCACGTACCCGTCGTCCTCGCCGCGCGGGTGCGCCGCGGCGGGGTCCATGGGCACGAAGCAGGGCTCGCCGCCGAACCGTCCCTCGCCGTACTCGAACTTGGTGAGCTCGCCCGTGGCGAGGTCCACCTTGGCGAAGCCCGAGACCTTGGGCCACGGCTCGGCCACCGCGAGGTACGCGTACCGAGTCTTGCGGCCCAGGAGGTTGCGGTTCACCATGCCCACCTCCAGGTTCACCTGCTGCGACGGCGCCAGGACGGCGCGGCGCGTGGACCGGCCCGTGCGCGTGTCTAGGCGGATCTCCGTGAGCACGCTCTCGAGGCGCTCGTCGGACTCGTTGAAGATGGAGTCGGCGGGGGTCATGCAGGAGCCGATCACCACCACCTCGCCCGTCGCCTCGTCCTCCCACGCGTTCCACAGGTGGAAGCAGAAGCAGTCCGGCACGTCCACCCACGCCATCTCCGACGCGTCGGCGGCGTGCTTGGGGAGCACGCCGAAGCGCGACGTCTTCTCCTTGTCCAGCACCACGGGCGAGCCGCCGCGCAGCATCTCCTGGAGCTTGAACACCACCTGGTGGTCGGGCACGACCACGAAGTTCTCGGTGATGGCGAAGTCGTGGATCATGGTGGGCTGGTCCAGCGGGATCTCCACGTCGTCGGACTTGGTGCCGTCGGGCCTGAAGTAGAAGTACTTGAGGTACGGCTTCTTGATGACGTCGTAGCTGAGCGCGTGGAGCTCCCCGGTGACCGGGTCAAGCTTCGGGTGCGCGATCATGGCGCAGCCGAGCTGGCCGTCGAAGTCGTAGCGGCCGACGGTCTCGAGGTCGCCGTCGTCCGCGACGCGGACGTGGTAGGGGAGGTCATCCTCGGACATGGCCAGGAGGCGGCCGTTGAAGTAGACGAGGCCGGCGTTGGCGACGCCCGTGCCGGCCGAGGGATCGACGAGGCCGCACGCGGCGCGCGCGTAGAACAGGGCGAGGCGCGCGATCCCGGAGTGGCCGTGCAGCTCGCCAATGGCCTTGGGGAAGACGGGGCGGCCGATCGCGCGCTCCTGGGTGAGGCGCGCGGTCTCCGTGAAGCGGCAGGCGTAGGACTCGGCGACGCCGTTGCGTATCCGCAGCGCGTGCACCATGCCGTCGCCGTCGAAGAGGTGGTGCCCGGCGACGGGGTCGAAGCAGGGGTTGGCGCCGTTGCGCGCGTAGATGCCGTTGATGAAGGGCGGGATGCGGCCGGAGACGGGGAGCTCGCGCACGGGAGGCCTCTCCCCGACGGGCGCGAAGTTGCCGGCGATCTGCACGGCCGGGTCGGCCGTGCTGGGCAGCCCGTGGGGCCGCTCGAGGACGTTGGCCACGAACCCCTCCTCGAACGCGTCGAGCGCGGCCGCCGCGGCGCGCTGGAAAAAGTTGAGCTGCTTCTTGCCGCCGCCCGTCTTCCGCGGCGCCGCGGCGTGCCTCGGGACGGCAATGGCGGCGGCGGGCTTCTTGGACGGCCCCGGCAGGTCGGCCGCGCCGGGCTTGTGGAACGGCGCCTGGAAGCTCTCGGAGGGCGCGGTGGCGTGCGGCACGGAGCTGACGGCGCGCGGCGAGAACCTGACGGAATTGGAGGCCCGGGCCCTGCTGGACCCGGCCGGCAGGTGCTGCCGGTGTATGGAAACAGAGGTGGGCGGGGCGAGACTCTGCATCGCGGTGGCTGAAACCGCTGAATTGGTGTGGATCGCGTGCGGGGTCGGTTGGGTTTTTGCGCGGTCGGCGTAGGAGGCTGGAGTGGAGAGCGGAGCCCGTTGGTGTGGCAGTGGTCTGTGATGGATGGATGGTTTGGAGGTGGGAGCCGGCGGTTGTATTTATAGAGAGAGGGTCGAGGTCGAGTGGCGGGGGCAGAGAGAGCAGGGGAAAGAAGGGAAGCAGGAAGCTCAAAGCTGTGGTGGGTGGTGACTGGGTGAGTGAGGAGGGGAAGAAAAGAATTGACAGGGGGCGAGAGCGAGACGGGCGGCGCGGGTGGGGGAGAGAGTGTGGTGTGGTGGACTGGTGGGGTGGGCGGTTTGAACTGGCCGCGACAAATTCGCGACGCGGACACCGGACAGGGGCGCCCACGTGGTGCGCTGCGGGGGGCGGCAGGGGGGACGCGCTGACGGGGACGTGTCCCCGGCGCCCGCGGATCCCCGGCGCCCCGCGACGGCTGTGCCCAGCCCACTGCTGTTGCGCTTGTGCAGAGAGAGAAAAAAAGCCGTGTTCTTCTTTTTGTTTTTCTATTATATCACTAGTTTCTCTTTTTGCCACAGGATTTATCGCGTGCGTTGCTTTGTTTATATATTATTTCTTTTTTTTGAACAATTGTTTATATTTTTCCTGGTAGAAGTGTTTTTTGGGCAGAAACAGTAGGAGCGAGGAGCTGAGGGTCGCGATCGAGTCTTCTCCCCACACCCTAAAGGCTTGGGTTTATTTGGCTGATAAGCCATGACTGAAAGTATCGTTGGCTGATTTAATATGAGAAAAAAATATTGTTCGTTCACTGAAAAAAAACAACTTATAAGTTAAACAAACCCAAGCGAAGAGATTGGCTGCTCATACCTCGGATATGTTGTCCCTCGGTACTTGCGCTTCCTTGGACCCGTCCCCCGTACCAAATGTGCTACAGATGCCCAGTTCTGTGCAGCCAACTTCTCAAGTCGCTAAACTTTGTCGTGCAGTATGCAGCACTCAAGACATGAGTAGCATAATGAATGGATTTCTTCGTCTAGCCACAACATTTTAGCATAAGCATTAGTATAAACTAAATTTCAGCATAAACGGACATGGTAAATGAATGGATTTTGATTAAGCTGGAGCGCCAGCAATGTGTGCTTGCTCTACCCTCGAGTCGAGTCGATGCTCGCCAACTATACTACTGCTAGCTCGTGGTGTGGAAATGAAAAGCGAATCCGCCGCGATGATCGTGCTGAACCTGGGACAAACCGCAGCCGACCGTCGGCGGCAGCCGGCAGGGGGCGCAGATCCCCGCCTCGCGCTTGTTCTCGCCCGGGGACAGTCGGACAAACCAGATGCCCGGGTTCCCAATTCTGCTGCCAGGATCGCGGCACAACGCTCGTTGATCGCGCGCCCGTGTCTGGTCGGCGAAGAACCGGTTCTAGGCCTTGTTTAGATTACAATTTTTTGCAATCTGGACACTGTAGTATGCGTTTCGTTTGTATTTGACAAACTTTATCCGATCATGGATTAACTAGACTCAAAAGATTCGTCTCGTGATTTACATCCAAACTCTGTAATTAGTTTTTTTTTACCTACATTTAATGCTCCATACATGCGTTCAAAAATTGATGTAACGGAAAGAGAGTAAAAAACTTGGATTTTTGAGGCAATCTAAACGAGGCCCCTAGTTAACAAAATCTGCAGACCCAAATCACACCCGCAGACCGCCCGCCCGGGCATCCTTAAACTGAACATTACCAGCAGAAGAACCAGTGTACGCTGCCCCCTGCGACGACGGATATTCCTGATCAGCATCTGTCGCATCGCAGGTCCCGTCCAAAACAGGCGTGCGTGATCCGAGCAAGCCACGCCACGCCAAAGCCATTCGCCCATGCACGTCCGTGTTGCACGAGACCGCCATATCACCACCGTGGAACACGGGGACAAAAGCGGCGGTGGACTGCATCAGGTGCTGGCAAGCGAAGCAGGCGCGTGGCCCGCGGCATGGCGCGGACGGCGGCGGACGGCGTCTTCCTCCCGGGAGAAAGCCTTTGGCGAATGCCGCCTCGGTCGCGCTGGCGCGCATGCAAACCTCGCCCGGGGCTCCGCGCGGCCGCCACGTCCGTCCGCCCAGGGGCTTACCTGCCGCGAGCACGCGACGCGACCGCATGCGCGCGGCGCGGCGGCGTCCGAGTGCCGTGCTGACACGGACACAGACAGCCCACGCCGCAGCCACGCGCGGACCCCCTCCGCCGCTCTTGGCGAGATGACAATCCACATGCCTGTGCCGCTGTGCGTGTGCATGCCCCATTTGGCACGTACATACGCCCCGCCGGACGGCTCGGCGGCGCGATGTTCCGTCCTGCCGGCGCCTTGCCGGGGTAGTACGTTTTACACGGGATCTTCGTGTGTTTCCAGCAGTAAACGCCTGCAAATAGTGCTGCTCGGTCGGTAAGGCCACGCGCGGACCCCCTCCGCCGCTCTTGGCGAGATGACATCCCACATGCCTGTGCCGCTGTGCGTGTGCATGCCCCATTTGGCACGTACGTACGCCCAGCCGGACGGCTCGGCGGCGCGATGTTCCATCCTGCCGGCGCCTTGCCGGGGTAGTACGTTTTACACGGGATCTTCGTGCGTTTCCAGCAGTAAACGCCTGCAAATAGTGCTGCTCGGTCGGTAAGGCCAGGGCCCGATCGTCGCCGACTCACCGTGGACGTGAGCGGCGCCGCGCACGACACGACCAAATTGAAACTGTCGGGCGGTGTGGCCTTTGCGAGACTTGTGTGCGCGAACAACAAAGGCGATAAAGGCGACGGCCTCCCTTCGCAGGGAGCATCGCGTAGACTTGTGTGAGCTCTTTGTTGACTGTGGAGTGAGCGAGAGCGTGAAAATTGATTTTGGAGGGGCGGCTACCGACGTGCGGAGACCGGTCGATCGCTTTCTCGTCGATGGCCGGTGAATCCAAGTCATTGACGGCGAATGGTTCCATGTGCATCGGAACTAGTACTACTCTTCGGTCCCAGAAAAAAAAACTGTACTCCCTTCATACTGGTAATTAAGGTCGTTTTGGACAGCATTTAGCATACCAAGGAGTGATTAATTAGGGTGGATTTTTCCCTGTTTGATCTTATTAAATAGGTATTTGGGTAGGCCCAATGCAGCAAACGTTTCATAACTTTAGTGGCTAGCGCGCCCCGGCACCATGCTTGGAGGCCACGGTTCGATCCATTCCTGGAGCTGTATTTTTACATGACGTGTGATTTTTTTTATAGGGCTTGACGCATGATTTTGCATGGCTCTGTGCCGAGTTGCTACGTGTGATTTTGTTTTTACAGATGCGTGATCTTTGCATCTTCTTTCTTTTTCATATGTGCGTTTCATAGATCGAAGAAATAGTACCAATGTGTTCCTAGTGCCGGAGTACGCAGCGATTGCATGGACGCGACAGAGTCCGGCTCGACGGACTCAGGCACGACAGCCTCCGCCGAGACTTCGTTCGACGGACGTGCGATTTATTGGCTTATTGCCTGGCGTCCATGCGTGCAGCGAGCGGAGGCAAGGAAGGAAGCGGCGCGGCGTAGTCCGACGATGGCGGGCGCGGAGCTGATGGCAGCCGTTGAGCGCGTCCGTCCGCTCCCGGACCCGTGCGTGCGCGGTGCGAGCGAGCAAGGAAGGAAGGGGACGCGGAGGGGACCGCGGCGCAATTTACTCCCGTGAATGAATGAGCGCATTAGGAAACGAAGAGTCAGGGCATTCGCGTCCAAAACCAGCTTAGCGCAACTAAAGCGACTTCATTTGCGCAAACGACGCCGCACCCTTAAACGACTTTATTTACCGATACGGAGGTATTAATTTTCTAAGGAGTCAAAGATTTTTAATTTTGATCAAATATATATAAAAATATTATATGACATGTTTATAAAATATATTTTCATAACAAACATGATTGGAGATCTAAATATAGATATAATATCTTCTAAAAACTAAGTTAGACTTAAGATTTCTTGACTCCTCGTGAAACGAGATTTACCTTTTTTTTTTTAGACATGAGGCAGAAATAAATACACGAGTAGTCGGCAATTTTTTCTTGAAGCCTGCACATTCAGCGTGCTCAGCTGCACCTTTTCAGCTATCTACTTTACTCTACAGTTTTTTGCAGCATTTATGGCTGCACAGCGCTGCAAAGAGTGCTGTTGAGCAAGCTGATGTTTTCTTAGAAAACTTAGGATAAGATTCCAGAGGTGTGAATGTCTAGTTCACATTGGTATTGAGTTCGAAGAGCAATGAAAAGGACCTGATCGGTTGATAGATCGTGGTAGTCAAGCACAAAGTGTAGAGCACGTTGGTTCTTTAGCTTATGCTCGTCTCGGCTTGTTGATCAGCTGAGCTAGAGATTGGATGGTGCGTTCGGTTCGCAGGTCATGTCACCTTAGGATCTGTGCTAGCAAGCTTTTTGCTTGCTATCTCAGGAGAGCCATTTTGGCTAACCTGACTTGGCAAGGCGAGCCTCGCCCACATGAGCAAGATAAGGCAAGCTAGACGATAGAACCAACATATGCACGCAGTTTGCCAGGACTAGAACTTTTATACTCACTTCTTCTTAACGCAAAGCCTTTTATTTATTTTACTATTTGTACTTACCCAATATAATCGTGTAAGACCTTTGGGTGTTCACTAATGGCCTACTCGTCTGCTTTTTTTTCTAGTGTGGTTGGGGCTGTGGCTACCTGTCTTCTTCTTTCCAACACTGTAGCTAGTGCTTGCTTGCAGCAGTGCTGCTGCAGCAATCACCGCAGATCAGGCGAAATGATAACGAGAAATGTACATTGGGACACTAAAATTGGACTCAAATTTGAAGAAGAATACCCACCTTTAAATCTGATTATATATTTATATATACGACACACACATGGGGACACACTGGTGGTCCATTCAAGCGCATACATGATGGATGCAACAGATCGATGAATGCATTGACGTCAAGTGTTACAGTTCA